ATCAAAAGGGGGAAGAAAGCTGTACCAATATAGAAAATGCCAAAAAAAGACTCACAGCAGCATATGTACAATCCTCAAGATCCCATTAAACGGGACCTCCCTTAGCTCCAGCAAATCCCCTAAAATCTCCAAGAACATCCTCAACCCATTTCCTCTGCGCCTTCCTCGCATCCTGTATTCCTTTCCCCAGTTTATTTTTCTTTTCCTTCACCTTATCCGCTCCACGACCTAGGAAATATTTTACTCCTTTCACGGTTTTGACGATTCCTGCTCCGAGTAAAACGGGTATAAATGATAGAAGACCCGCTTTTATGGGATTAGCACGGGTCCAAGAGAAGAGAGATTGGATCCAGGATTTTATGCGGTGGGTTACGCGTTTGATGAAGCCGGGACGGGGTTTAGGACGGGATAGTGAGAAGGGTGAGAGGGGTTTTTTGAAGGGTGATGTGATGCGTCCTGGGATGGGGGAGGAACGGCGACGAATTGGTTGCGGGTGAGGAGGTTGTTGTGGGGGTTGGGAGTAGGGGTTTGTGTTGATTATGGAGGGTAGAGTGTTTGGGATGGGGGAGCTGGAGCGTCGGGGAGGTGGACCAGGGTGAGTGGGGTGAGCGGGGTCGAAGTCTTCGGGATAGGGACGCGGATCTAGGATTTGCATTGGGCGGGTTTGGGAGGGAGAATCGGGATTGGAGGTTGTTTGCCAGTAAGTTTCTTGGGCTGGTCGATGAGTAGTCCTTTGGCTATTATCATTATAGCTATAGCTATGACTTTTCGCGCGAGGATCCTGCGACGCAGTTTTGAAGTAATCGGTGCTTGGAGGAGGACCGGAAAATTGATTCGGGATGTTGTAGGAAGGATCTTGAGAAGTGATGCCGTAAAAATCGTGGACCTCGGTGGGTTTACTAGGAGCTGGATGACCAGATGCCCAAGCCTCGGTGGAGGCTGGAACTATTGTTGAAGCGTCTGTAAAGGAAGAATAGATGCCGGATTTTTTATCCTGCGCTTGTTCATTTTGTGAAATGTATGATTCGGCCGTAGCTGCTTTTCCATATGTATCGCGCGAAGCTGCGTTTCGTTCGTCTGTGTTATGGCCATTGTGATATCCGTGATTTTTATGCTTGGGGGAGCTGGTAGATGGAGGTGTGGGGTATCGCTCCATTTTTGGGGATCTTCAATTGATTGATTATTCGTGATTTGATTAATTGAGAAATTGCCCTAAAGAGATGTGTATGCAGATATGTTATGCGTATGTATGTATCTCGGATAATAAGTATATAATGGGTCTGGATGAAAGAGGACCCAGATGTGAAGCTTATGAGAGCAGAATGTGAGGGAAAAGAGGAGTGAGGAATGAGATGATAAACTCGTGGTTTATGGTGGTTGGACGGGCGGTGAAGTTATGATAAATTTGGGAGCAGGGTTACACCTCTATAGGTTTGGGTTTAGTATGTTGATTGGTTGATGCTGACAGGGAGTTAAGATGAAGGATTTTGTGCCACCATGAGGTATGATCTTAACTTTTTCGCGAGGGAAATAAGTCTTATAATGACGACGATATCAAGAAATGAATGTGTTCTTTTGACTCGAATAGTTGTTCGAGGTATATGCGAGCAAAGATATTGTTTGCAGTACTCCAAGCATCTGACGACTTCCAAGAACCCATGGAATTTTCTTGGTAGGTATATCAGAGTTCTTTAGGTCATCGGAAAGATATCAAATGGAATCCTTGCAATGATGGTAGAGGGGAGGAGTAGCTTGTATTTCATACGATATAAAGAAGCCTGCTAAGACAAGAGAGAGGAAGTCATTGAAAATCGTGTCACGTCTGATGTTGATAAGGAATAGGAGACATGGTACTATGGATATAGCTACTATGGCCCAAATTGGGATTTTATATCGTTCGACGGTCTAGACAGTAAATTTAATTTGACATACGGACCGAAGAGCGGCAGCCCGGAGCCATGTCGTAACTTACTGAGCGACCTTCCGGTGGTAGCGACAATGCAATGATAACTATGAGTGGAACCAGCGTACTAGCACCCTTTCAAGAGCCAGTTGCTGAAGTGAGGATTTCGATGAAGGGAAAACCAGTAGGACTTGTGAATACAACCGTCAGATCACCCACACTACAGCGAACACCGAGGGCATACCAAATCCCAAAAACCCATTGCTCATGACACTGGAGATAATAACTTTAGGAAAGTATGTACGAGCCTTTTTGATCCCTTCTGTATCTTCGAGCTCTTTTATTAGTAACGATTAAAATCGTGGACAGGAACAGTATATTCGTGCTTTAAAACCTCCATGAGCAATTCCATCGCTAGCTAGGAAAGGGACAGAATTTCTAGCAAGTCCGACGAAGAATGACAATCCATTGCTTAGCCACTCTCTTCCATTTAGAAAGGCTGTGAAAGGGTCTTTAGTACTAGATTCGGGACCTAGGTATAGAAAAGATATTAGAAAAACCCAGCAGTGTGAGTTACAAGGATAAGTCTTTCCAGCTTTTGGAATACGGGGTTAGCTGCCTGATTCACAGTCATCGACATGAGTATTGCAGCTCATAGTAGAAGTAATGTTCCTTGCCATCTGATCGATAAGTACGTATCATTTTTCAAGACACCTAATGTTTTAACAAGAGAACTATATAAAAACTAGTTGTTGCTGTAGCGGCAAGCCATCCTATACAAATCATTCAACCCTAACAACATCCTTTCGTTAGCATGCCACATTTCTCGCATACTAATTCCCCAAAAGGAGGATAGGGGTGTGAGTACCGGTAACATAACTCAAAATCTTCCTACACCTCGACGTGGCAAGAAGGTATACCCAATGGTACTGTCCGCCGGCAGTTGGGGCAATAAAAGTCAGCTCTCGATCTCCGATGACTACAAGCACAAAAAGAGTGCCAACCCAGATGAACAAAAAACCGTATATCAAACCAGCTACTCCTCCACTTCTACATCTTAGTTCAAGTCGGAAAAGAAGAGCGTGGAAATTCCCTTACTCCTGGTAGCCTCCTCCAAATACGCTGCTGATGATTAGTATAAGGTGCAGGATCAATTGACGGCGAAAAGCTCACACGAGAACTTCTTAAGTCGCCTCCAAAGTACACACACGTTCAACTATACTTGTAGACCCGAGGCTGTGCTGTCTATGCTTCGGAATTGTTGAATTTGATGACTGTAATAACTATAATTACTTTTAGGACTAGTTGTTTTTCAATGTGAACGAGGTATACAGCATCGTCATTCAAAGCTCTTTGATTGTTGAAGGTCTCAATTCTTAGGTGCTCGCTAAAATTATGTGTTCTGGTGCCTTTTGGCACTTCTATGACGATTAATCTGAAGCGCGTATGAATACCGTTTCAATAGGAGGAGGAAAGCAAAGTACAGCTCGTGCCAATCCGTGGGAGTAGGAAAGAAGACACATTTGTGCATCATAGCAAAGAGCAAGAGTAAGATGAAGATGAAGATGAAGATGAAGATGAAGATGAAGATGAAGATGAAGATGAAGATGAAGATGAAGATGAAGATGAAGATGAAGATGAAGATGAAGATGAAGAACTTCTACTGTGACACATCCTTGATGCTAAATTTTGGATACTGTGCGGCAGATGTTAATGAGGAGTTCTTTACTCGGTATTCTAATTCAAGGAGAATACCATTCATAGTAAAATAAACTACTGTAATCGTCAAATTCATCAAGATATTTGAAGAAGATGCTTAGGTTTCATTGGTTCCCAATTCGAGACACGCGGAAAATTTCTCAATTCCATTCTGGACAGCGAAAGAAAGACCATGAAAATCAATTCCGTGTGTCCCATAGAAGCATAGTCTTGCCCTCTTCATGGATTCTTTCAAGTGGCTCCACATCCGTCAAAATAGAGCATTGCCAAAATGAGATTGAAGTCTCTTCCAGGTGCTGATAGGGTTATAAATTGCAGCATCAACCGCGATCTTCTGTATTGATCTAGGTCCGAATTTCTTGTAAAGTCTAGAATCTTGATCACTCGACTCAAATGCAATTTCTAGGCCCATTCCGCTGCCTTGTCCATTCCCCGCTTCATAAGCATGCCGCCGCAACACATGTGCCTCCCCTGCGGGCAAGTAAATATCATGTCAAGCTCTACGATGTGATAAGTTGACGACGGTAGAATGATGTCTCTCCTTGAGTGACTTACGAGCATATGGCCTCACCAATTGTTTTGCCGTCAGACTGTATATTTCGTTCATGGTCCTACTCGCAAAGTCTGTTCCTTTACTTTCCCGTCACCAACTGCCACATAGATTCAATGGCTAAAGAAGACTCTCTGAAGGGTGCTTGCCAGAGTTGATTTTTGGATTTGGCAACACCGGATTGATAACTCTCCTCGGTGCTACCAAAGACTGGAAACATGAAGTTCATGAAAGAGTGTACGAATCGTAGTAGGCATACCAGAGACAATCAATCACCGGACCAAATTCCTTGTTAGAAGTCACTTTTCCGGGAACAGCTTCTGGCATGATGAGATGGCGAAAGAAAGCTGTGGGGAATTACGAGAATATGCTATCTTGAGGATATACTTTGTCAAACAACAGCGTTAAATCTCGATTGAACCTTCACCCAAACCTGACTTAAGAAAGTGTTTGTGTGGAGAAAAGAGACTAATGCGATGATTCCAGGCGGAATAGATTCGGTAAAATCAACCCTCGTATGTGTGAATAGAAGGGGAATAAAAGAAAGTAGCAAGCAGAATCACAGAGATTGTATTTCGCAAAGAGTGTGGCACAGGCTCATGCTAATATGCAGCCATGAGACGTAGGAATCCCTCGGGACGATATTCCTTCATGGTAACTGTCAGGTAAGATGTAAGGGTAAGACAAGTCCTGACTCCCGAGTTCCTCCTTAACATTATACCCACATCCACTCTCAAATTCCCGTCGGCTAGACAACTTTTAGAGTTGGGGGAATGCATCATGATGGCACCTCCTTAAGTTCACCTCACCACATACAGATATTGTTGAAAAGGAAAGGTTTCATAGGCAAAATTATCCAGTGTTGTGAAAGGTATTCTTTATTTCAAATCACACATTGACTGATTAAGCACACGGATGTAAGTACATGTTCTCATTTGTGCAGATGCACTTAAAACTATTCCAACATTATTTAAGAGGAGAGAGTTGTACATCAGTGATGGAAGTAGTATTGAAGGTTTTGACGATAAATCTTCCTTGGAATGGTACCGCGTTTTCCACATATGAAAGTGATGGGAGAGCCTCTGAGAGCAATATCAACTATTCTAAGCTGGGACACAGTACTTCTAGCACTGCTCATTATGTTCGAGCTATTCTATAACTTTCTAGATGCTCAAAGGTAACAAATGCCTCGAACAATTAGGTGTTCCATTCCATCTTATGACATCCTTACCAGCCAGGCATCAGCTACCCTGTACAGATTCTAGATCGTGATTCTGACTTTTGGAATACTTTTGAAGATTGTATTGACGATTATCCCATCCAACTTCATGGAATTCACGTGTCCGTCGAGCGCAGAAATTCGCCATACTCAGTTACTTCGGAACTCGGATCCTGCAAGTCTCTCTCCCCAAAATAACACGGCTTATGCAAAACCATTACTAACTTATTTTTATAATCATTGGAGTTCATATCCGTGAAACTGTCCTTCTTCATAGAGCAAGATCTCATTCTCAACGCATGGGCTTTAACTATTGCCTCCCAAGTCGTCCTTTCCCTCCCTTTTGTTCCCTGCTTACCATATCTGGAACTATTCCTTGAATCACTCGACTCGGGCATACTCGGAAATGTATTCTCTGAAGAGTCTCGTGGCACAGGCTATCAACAGCTCGATTTAAAACAGATGCAACAGGAAATTCATTAACAACTCACTAACGACGCGAGGAAGGAGTAAGAAAAGTATGGAGATTTAATCGAGAAGGTATGATGTGACTTTGGGAAAAGCATGTCTCTTCCCCGACGATGTGAACGCATCCTACACAGAATTAAAAGGAGTAGCATGGTTGTGGAGGTAGTTGAAGCCAGGGTAAGATGGCCACGGTTCGGACTTCCCTTGACCTGGAGATAGAACGCGAACATAGCCATCAGGAAATTAAGTAAGATATATGGGACTCGTCCAGTTTCTCCGACAGTTTGCGATAATTCATTAGTTATATCTTCATGATCAAAATAGAGCCTCTAATTGACTAATATCGATAAATTCCTCTCTGTAGCGGAAACAGTATGTAGCTGACAGACGGACTAGCACTTCGGCAGAACTTCTGTCTGTGGCTTAGACACTCCGTCAGCTACGCCGTGCATCAATCAGACCTTACATTTCCCTTATTTCAAACC